TGTGATAGTTGGACATGTGCTTGTGTTGCTGACTTAGCACTGTTGGATTCTACCGAATCACACTCAGATAGATTCATTTCATGATCAAGACAAACTCGGATAGATGCATTGAAGTTTACGATCAGGACTGGTGCAGACAGTGTGAGCATGTTTCACGGGATGATTGTGTGAAGATACAGAAGCGAAGATGGGTTCAATGCCAAGCTCTGTCGCCGGGAATTCATGGCGACGACTGTCTGTCATTTTCGATGCTAAGTGGCCTAAGAAAGAACCCGACCCAAACAGGGCAGTCATTCTCGCAGAGAGAGACTATCACTTCATGCCTAACAACGCTATCCTTACCTACTTCCGCACGGACTGGTACGAGCAGCTTATGGATGACACTCCTCAAAAAACTCCTGAGGTGCAGACTGACGAACAATCGTCCAGCACGGACTCATCCTTGTTCGATGAAAGTGTGCAGGAAAAAGTAGGGACTCGAGTAATCTTGTCCTCCAAGGAGGGGGTTATCAAGGTATATGAGTCTCAAGCAAAGCAGCTGATGCATCCAAGTGGAGTGAAAATGACCCTACGCAAGACAATTGACGCGCATACATGTCCTGTGGTTGGGCTGGGAGTAACTCTAGATGGGAAAAGAGCTATTTCCACAGATCAAAATGGAAGGTTTGCCATTTGGGATCTCAAGCGAGTGAGGAGGGAGGGAGGGAGGGAGGAGTGCATGAGATACCTGACGACTGGCTGTTGGGCTTCTCGAGCACATGTTTCCATGCTTCCGCAAGAGCTTCCGATAGATCGTAGGTGTACTGCAATGGGTGAGAAAGAGGAAGGGAAGGTTGAAGGAGCGGGAGCGGGAGTGGGAGCAGGAGCGGGAGCAGGAGCAGGAGCAGGAGCAGGAGCAGGGGCAGGGGCAGCAGCAGGGGCAGGGGCAGGGGCAGGAGCAGGAGCAGCAGATCACCGAGTAGACAGCCTCTTCCCTCCAGGTCTTCATCTTCGACACATGGGGAGTTGCAAGCACTGGAGGGAAACGTCATCCTCCGCCCATTCCTCTCCTCCGCACTTCTTCCTCCCCTCCCCTCCCCTCCCCTCCCTTCCTCTTTCTCTTCCCTCCACTCTCCCCTTCCTGGCTACTCTATCAGGAGAGTTAGGTAGCAGATTGGTGCACTATACTGCCATAATTTGTTGTAAATGTCTTTTCTCTCGGTTTTATTGTTTGCTTATTCCTTTTTCCTTTTCCTTACCTCATGATATTAGTTCTGATCTCCGTTGAATATCTCCTTGATTTTCTTTGTTTGTTTTTTTATGTATTTAACGTTCATGATTCCATCTTGTTTGAAGGTGGTATTCGTTAATCCATTGCATGTGTATGATGTTGTCCTCTTGATCTTAAGATGTCTTCTTTAGTCGGCTTCAT